TCCGGGAGAGCGAGTATCACCGGCATAAATATTTGTTCGCCTGTAGCAAGTAATGAATTCTGCCCTGGCTCACAGACCACAGGAACGCTTCAACATGGGAGGTGGCTACATTCATCTCACGCGTGATCCCTCTGACGAGTTTAACCGGACAAGGGTGATGGTCACAGGCGATAAGAATATATTAAAACCGGCGGTGGCAGAATGCTGAAAAATCGACGCACAAACCTGCAGAGGGTACGATGTGTGTTGGGGCAGCGATGTTAGCGAGCGTCTATTAAGGCCGGCACGGCACACAGGGGGATTATGGGCGAGGCAAGCACCAGCCCAACAATGATGTTCACGCAATTGACCGGGTACTTTTTATATAAGGCTGAGCCTACACAGAAGCACAGGATTCATGTGCATACCATACGCCACTGCTTTTGTCGCATAGCCAGGACTCGAACCTGGTGACCAAGATTGCAGGATGCATATACACACACACAAGACAAAGAGCCCCCGTATAGCCTTAACAGGCTGTTGGGGAAAGTGCTGCCAGCGAGCACCGAGGAAGTCCGGCACGGCACATGGGGAGGTGGGTTGCCAGCACCACGCCTGGCTGCCTTTGTCTCCCTAGTGCCGATGGTTACACACAGCACTAGGTACTAATTTTAAGCTGCGTTGACCTAGGGGGAGACCAAATACCTGTTCAGATATCCGCCACTGTTATTGGTCGTGAGCGGGAATGAAAGTCGGTTCGCCAGGTTCGTATCGCAGCGCGCTAACCCCGCTACACAACCCCCTTCCAGCATGCGTGCGCGCACGCACGCACACGCGCGCGCAAACACACACGCGTGTTAAAAATACAGGGTTGTTTCAGAGGCACCCGCCTACCCGTATCTGTAAGGCAGCAGATGTGGGGGGCATGCTGCCGGCATGTGCATGGATACTGTCATGCTACAATTAAACCTTTAATCTGCTTCCTCTCCCCCCCTGGACAGACAACTCACGGAGCCCGCCATCGGGATTTCTCAGCTCCCATCTTTAGGACCCAGGGGTCGTCCTTAAGGCACACATTTTGTCGCCAGAAAAATGCCTGACTATTTAATAAGGCTTAATCCCCCCGCAAATATTTTCTAGCCATCAAATTTAATACTCATTATCCCAGGTTGATAATAAAAAAGGTATTTTCAACTACTTTCCTTTTCTTTGTGAGAAGCATTAGCATTTGTGTAAAAAAATTGTTCACACGTTTTGTTTATCAAAAGATAATTTATGGAAAAAAAGGAGAAAATGAATAAACACCCCCACCCCCCAAAGGCGTGCGTGGATGCACACATACCATCCATCCCTCAGCAACACACAAAAAACACAGCAACACAAACGTGCGCAGGTACGCGTGCATCGAAGCAACGCACGGTGACAAATCCAAACGGCAATTACAAGCCGACGATCAACAGCGTGGAGGGCTGCGGTGGAGGCCGGAAGCTGTAAACACATCGACTCTCGAGTGTGGGGAAGCACGGGGGGGGGGGGGGGGGACGAGCGCGACTCTTCAGTATGGAGACGCAGAGTTGCACAGAGATGCACACAGAGATGCACACAGAGATACATACAGACAGATAGATACAAAGACACCACACTGTGTACTCTGCGCTACTCAGCAGGCAGCTACATACAGAGATACACAGAGATACAGACCGATATACACACGGAGAAATACATAGAGATACACAGAGATACATACACACAGACAGATACAAAGACACCACACTGTGTACGCTTTGCTACTCAGCAGGCAGCTGTCTTACATACAGAGATACACAGAGACACAGACAGATATACACACGGAGAAATACATAGAGACACACAGAGATACATACACACAGACAGATACAAAGACACCGCACTTGTGTGTGTGCTGTGTGTACTACTCGTCAGGCAAGCCGTCTCATCGTGCATCTACTATTTTTACTACCGCCGCGTAGAGCGAGGTAAACCTGACTACGGAAGAAAAAAACCCCATCACATTCAATTTGGTTCTGCACTTAATTTGGCATTAATTTGAGGTTGGAGAATTTAAACAAGTATTTTGTTTTACTGTCGCTGGACAAAACGTCGCTGCCTGTGGCAGTTGCAGAACTCCGCAGTCCTACGGCGTGAACCAGAGTCCAATTGAAGGGAAACCGAGAAGTAGATCTGTGATATCTCGTGGGCCGTTCCTTCCCGAACACACCAAGAGTCTAAAAGAATAGGTTTCACCCTTTCTGGCAATAAAATAGTTGTGGTAAGATGTTAAAATACCAAACTGAAACCTTTTGCAAGGAATCATGTCTGCATTAACCACATGTACACTTGTGGTGAACATGCAAACACAAAAAGCATGCTCTGGTTGTATATGCATTGTCTCTTGAACCGATTGGTCCACACCAGAGACAGCTTTCTTTAGAGCCTAGTCTCAAACAGTGTTAGACCAGAGGATGCCAAAAGGCGAACAGCACCGAGACACAATTCCTTGCAATAGGTTTCTGTTTGGTGTTTTTAACATCAACACAAGGGTAAAACCTATTCTTATTTTTTGACACTTGCAAGGGAAGTCCCACGATGTAGCTGCTCACCAAGGGTCGCTACGAACTGCTCACGGGACAAGGGGGGGGGGGGGGGGCCTTGTCCCGTGACGCGACGACACCGAAAATCCGATCCAGATATACAATTGTGGGGGGGGGGGGGGGGGGGGGGGGAGGGATTTTTTGTTGTTATAATGAGAAATTAGTTTTTATGTACAACCACAACTGCGGCGACGCACAAGTAACGTTTGCGAAAGCACGACCTGGAACGCGAGCCGCCGTTCATTCGTCGGCCAGAGTCGCGCACGGCAAAAAGCGGGACGCGAGCGGGGCCCTGAATTTTGCAGCACGACGCACGGCCAGCGCACACACGTGGCAGCGTAAAAATAACCTCAATCGCGAGATAATAAAACACTCCGGCCTGTGAAAATACAACGGCCGTCGGACTCTGCGCAGCGATACGGTCAGGCGGGGGAGGGGATCGTTAATCTTGTCACAAGCGTCGTTCACAGCCGCCGTTGCAGCCGTACGTCGCTCTCGCAAAAAGGGAAATGTGATAATTGTGCTGGCATCTTTCGATTTAAAGCTTTCGTGACTGCAGGGATTCATCTTCTTGGTTCTTTCGGTAAAGTCACGTAGAAGGGAAGTAATAAAATAATTAAAATAAAACATAATAAAATAAAATAATTCTCACAACATTTCGGCTACAATGCAAGCAGCCGTCTTCAGGTGAAGACGTTTCGGCTACAACGCAAGCAGCCGTCTTCAGGTGAAGACGGCTTGCTTGCGTTATAGCCGAAACGTCGTGAGAATTATTTTATTTTATTATGTTTTATTTTTATTATTTTATTACTTCCCTTCTACGTGACTTTACCGAAAGAACCAAGAAGATGTGCTGGCATCCTCCGGCTGAGGGCCCACGTGGCTTGCACGTCGTGAGATTCTGAGCGCCCTCCCAACGTCTCCCCCCCCCCCCCCCCCAATGCCAGATGAACTTTCTCTCTCGCTCTCTCCTGCTCGTGCTCACTCTCGCTTGCTCGAGCGGGAATGAAACTCGGCTCACCAGTTTCGTAGTGCAGTGCGCACCGACCACTGCGTGCCACAGCTCCCCAATTAAACCACCACCACACTTCAAGTGCGTTCTAGTGAATCCGCAGCCCCGCACACGATGCCTACACAAAACTGGGCACGCGCTCGCCTTCCTCGGATTTGATTTATTATGTTTCGTGCTCACGTTTGCCATTCCTTTGGCAGGTTCCTTTAAAGGCTTATTTCAGTTAATCTTTCCTTCGTTACTTATATTGGCCCAAAAAAAAATAATACCGACGGGGAAAATCCTGGTGAATGTGCAACATTACGGCGCGATGGAAACGCTAAGGACAAACGCTTCTGCATGTTGTGTTTAGAAGTGGTGGGTGGCGCAGAGAGCTAATGTACTGTGAGTCAGGGTACGGAGCCAGCGCCTCTTTGATCCAGGGTTCAAGTCCCCTTGGGAGATGAAACGCGAAAGATTAATATTTTCTGCCCGGGGAACAAAAGGGCCGTTTCCACCGGCTGTGCAACGCCGTTTTCTTTTTCGGACGTCCAGAATGTCCGAGGTGGATTTGATGGATCTGCTCTGTTTGCCGGGGTACAAAGCGGACACGCAATCTGAACGTGTATGAATACAACAAAACGAGCGTTTGAATCTCGGGAAAGCATCGACAGATTGGCCCCGATTGAAAAGCGGATCCTTGAAAAAAATGTTCGTGGACAAAAAAAATAAGTAACTTTAAAAAAAAAGTCTAAAAGTTGGGGTTGGGAAAACACATTTAAACTTTTTGAATATAACAACGTTACGTGAAAACATCTAATTGTGTGAAAGACGGAGTCAAAAAGGAATCGGCTTAAGTCTACGTAATCTTGACAACTCTTTGATTACTCCTTTTTCGTTTACTTAGTGGATTATCGCATGTTATTTCACGTGTGAGAAAACGAATATTGACGCACAATAACAGCTGACAAAAGTAAGCATCCCGAAGAACACTGCAGTAGCTTTTTATGTCCCTGGTGTATCAAAATCATTTCTGTGGGACTGCAACACTGGTGTAAAAAAAAACTAAACCTATTTTTATTTTACCAGGTAAGGCCCACATTGAGCTTTATAGCAATTTTTCATAAACGACGTGGCCACAAATGATGGCTCAACAAAGTGGCCCATCACGTGCAAATGCACAGCAGCCAAATACTGTAAACGCGTGCCGTTGATTCTAAATGTGGAGGGGAAAACCGGGGGACCCGGAGAAAAATCCAGGGTGAAAAATCCAAATATACAGCAGCAGGCGTCAAGGGTTGGGATCGAACCCACGACCTCCTGTGTACCGAGTGAGGTAGTTCACTTCTCGCCGCCGTGGGGCAAGATGTTAACGCGTAGGCCGTTTACACTTTTGGAATGATGCATTGGTGCAAGCTTACCATAAATCCCTGTAGAAATGCATGGAAACGCCTAAATGGGAAGACAAAACATCAATATATCATCATGACCACCACTATCATCATCAACAATAACAGGCTTCCACGCAGCTGTCACCGTCCATCACGGTCTCGCGCGATGCATCTATCCAATCTGGCTCATGGAAAACGGCCGATGTCATCGCTCCATCTCCATGCTGGGCGCGGTGTTGGGGTGCCTTCCCCCCTCCGTTGGCTGCCACTCTGTCATCACGACTGACACAATACCTCTTCAAAGCCACGTTGTCCTGCCCGAGTTCACTTTACCGTACAAGTCAATCTGACGTCTCTACCACGATCGCTAATAAATTTATATTGCACGCCAAATGTACTCGTGAATACTGAAAAGTGTTAATGAACTTAATAAACCATAAATTATAAATATTACAATACATTCACGCCGTGACAAAGTAACCTTTCAAGGATTTCAATGAAAATGAAAGTTATAAAAAAAAATGGGAATTTTAATTTATAACTAAATTGCCCTAACACCATAATCATTACCCTGGGGTTTAGATTATTATAAGTGAGTACATTTAATAAGCACTCACTGCGCGTAACTTCTTTGCATTAGCGAGGCAAGTTTCGCTGTCGTGCATCTGACTGACTGATTGCCTTACACCCAAATAACCGACTGCCTTAACACCCAAATTCAGGGAGTTGGCAAATGCACCCACCCAACCTCTGTTGCAAATCTCTCGTGTTATTATTATCCACGTTGCTTCAAAAATAGCAATTTCCATAACCATTGTAGCCAAGATTGAATCAATGCTAAACACAAACATGCACTTTTTTTCTCAGTTTCATTTATCTGAATCATTTGTTTTCATGTATCTGGATTTTATCTGCCAAAGTGTTTTTAACTGTTCAATTGGCATCAGTGCCCCCCAAAAAAATCACATTTCCCTAACCTCAACACCGATCGAGGGGCCTCACCATCACATTGGCCAAACGACCCAGAAGAGACGGGAGAGGTCTCCTTGTGACGTCTCCTCAAGTGGCCTCTCTCGCATCGATGAGCCTCCACCGAGGGGTTTGTGCCGCAGCAATCGACGGAAGCTCCCTCTTCGAGCATTTCCCTTCCACCAAATCCCCTCCCCCCCCTCCCCTCCTCACCACGGACCGCAGCTCCTTGTCCTCCACGATGTGCAGGCACTCGCTGTAGCAGCCATCCAGCTGCTTGCGCTCCTCGGGCGTGGGCACGCTGTCCAACACGCGCGGCCCCACCGTGTGGATCACGTCTGCTCGCACGAGACGGGCGGGTGGGGGGGGGGGACACGAGGCCGGCCAACGTTACGGGACGCACGAGGTATACAAGGCCCGGGGCATTATCCCTCTTCTCATACCCCCGCACACCGCAGTCGCAGCCGTTTCCAGTATGGGGCACGCGGAGGTATTGGCCCGGTGAGTGGCCCGGTGAGTGGCCCGGTGGCGTGGCCCGGTGAGTGGCCCGGTGAGTGGCCCGGTGAGTGGCCCGGTGAGTGGCCCGGTGGCGTGGCCCTGGCTAGGCCCTTCACTCCGAGGTGCACTGAAAGTTCTTGCGTTTGTGCGTTTCGCCGCGGTCTCGTGTGCCAGCGCCGTTAAGAGAGGCACCGCTTCCGCCTGCTCTGCTTCCGACCTCCCTGAGCCGGAGCGTTCACGTCGCGGCCCCCCCCCCCGTCGGATTCCCCGAACTCGCGAATCCTAACCAAGTAAGCCATGTATATAACGAGGTGACTGGCCACACTTAACTAGCTGACTGGCCAGGCATAACGAGGTGACTGGCCACACACAGCGAGGTGACTGGCCATGCAGGCAACAAGTCTCCGGATGCCGGTGTGGTGCATCGGCTGGACACTGGACTTGCGATCCAAAGGGCGCGTTGGCAGTTGATGCAATGGGGCAAATTAATTACAAATCCCTCCGCCTCTATCCATCCAGCAGTGGACACGGGTTACGCCGCAGTTAGTTGATCAGCAAGAACACACGTGGCGGGCTAAAGTGTGGGTACACCCATCTCTTCCGAGGTGTTTGGCCAATGTGGAAGGGTGGGCCAAAAATACCCTCTAGGGTACTTCCGGAGCTCCCACGAGTGCAACGGGCCCTTCTGCCGGCAGTGGCGTGAGTAATAAGTTGCAGTGCTGCACCTTTGCCTTGACCTCTTTGGCTAGGGTCAGGGTTAAGGGTAGAGGGGAATATGAGAGATTCTGGGGAAAATGCACGAATAATTTGTGGATAAAAAAAAAACTCAATATGCTGAAATACCCAAGGCCAAATATATCGCGCAATCAAAAATAGTTGCAAACAGATTGGAAGAAAAAAAAAAACCCAAAACAATGTAGTAGCGTTAAAATAATGGAGAGAGAAAGTACACAAATGAAGACGTGGCCAACATCATGCATAACAGGACTATATTGTTTAAAATCAATTGAGAATAGACTTGAAATGAAGAGACCGCTTACACATAACAAATGACGTCCCAAAACGAATTACGCGTTGCCATGAATCACCCCCCCATTGTTACCTCCCGCATGGACCGCAATTGACGGCACAGCGACCGTGTCAGCCGTTGCTCAAACCGCAAAGCGCCCGAACAAGGGACTGAAGTACCTTGGTCGACGTGCCAGCCGCTTCACATTTTTCTATGAATATCGACAACAACAAACAAAATAAAGAAACACAATCCATCACGCAAACTCCGGTCATCCTCGCAGCAGCAGCGGCTTTTGGCTGTCCATCGAACAAAGACGGTCAACCCATCGCGTGGCGCTTTCAGACACGCTTCTGCGGCCGTCTGGAATGCTCTTCCTTCCGATATTAGGAAGCCACTGGACACCTATGCCCTTTTAAATCATCTAGATTGAAAACACATTTCTTTAAAACTGATTTTTGTGTCTAGTTTGTTGTCCTTCCCCCACACCGCCGATTAGCACGGTTGGCTACGCATGCTGTCAAAGAAGTTCAACATACATAATGGCAGAACAATGGTGTTTTTTTTCAAGAAGAAGAAAAAATGTGCACCATGTGAAACGCAACTCTTCCGAGACATTATGGAGTTTTCAGGCCCATCCCACCGTCAGAAACTCCTTATCGACTAGGTTTCTTAATCGAGCACGTTTCCTAGTGATGACCGTCTTGTTTTCGCGAGGGATTCCATGCCATCTTTAACGTCACCCTCGTCGCATTCCGTCCAACTCTGGCGGTCGGATCGGAGCCACTCAACGCCTGGAAGCTTCCGTTCCCGCGCGCCACCGACAACGACACCGAACACCGTGCTTCAGTGTACGTACTGTACGTCACACACCCACAGTACAACTGGGTTTCCAGGTCTCGTTTGCGAGAAACGTTATTGTTTATTTTCATTCTCACCTGGTTAAATAGAGGCTCCGTTCTGCATCGCGTCAACATCAAGCCTGCCTTCCGGCCGACGCCCCTTGAGCTGCGGTTGCACCGAGACGCAACGCAAATCCAAATCGGAATTCTCATTGCGCAACTGCAAACGTCTCAAACGAGCTCGAGGCCGAGTTGGTCATCGCCACCGACGGACGCCTCTAGTGAATGCACGGTCGACTCGGCGACACCGTATGGCTCGGGGTCGGTGCAGGAAACGGCAAATTCCTATGGCGGGCAGGTGCCCAACGCCGCACAGAGCGACGGCAACAACCGCCGCCGCCGCCACGGGCGACCAATTATTTAAACGCGTGCAGTCAATTACGCCTGCACTTTATCCATTCCTTTAATACGTTTTCTAATTTATGTGCCTCTGACACGTAGGCAGTGGCGGGGAAGGTAAGGGTGGAGGAGGAGGGGGGAGGGAGGGAGGGGTGTTTTAACGGAGGAATGGGCAGGAAAATTAGTGTGCATTTCAATTTTCGTCACAGGCCAGGCCACGTTTTTCTGAGTGCCCACATCGAGTGTGGCTCTGGGAGTTAAACTGATGGATTGACTCGGTGTTTTTCCAAGCCAAGCACATTGAGGCCGTCTTCAGTTACAACACAAACAGTTCATTGGATTATTGAAGGCTCTGGTTTAAAGTCGAATAACATTGCACAATTTCTCTCTTTTAAAGCGGGGGGAGGGGGGGGGGGTGTAGGTTTTAGCTTTCAGCATGTGGTGCTCTCATTACCGGCTATTGCGATTTCATTTTGCACAAATCGTTCGTGCTACAGATACGGTGCGTGCGCACGTAAGACAAACAGTAAAAGGTTACGAGCCATGAATAGATGAATAGACTCAAATTGACCCCGCTGACGTTGACCCCCCGTCTGTGCAGGGGAAATCGAAAATACTTTTAAGAGCAGGAATGTAAAAAGAAGAGGCTCGTATGGTAAACTGCAAAAAAGAAAAAAAGGAACGTGATCAACCAAGGAAAATTTCACGGACTGCAATGCCAGGGGTGGTATAAGTACCACAGGAAAATCATTCACCAAAATCATCGCAATCGCCAATGTCACAGACGAGAAGGCAAAATTATTGTACCTACGATGTTAGACGAGACGACATTCTCCAACTATGGGGCTTGCAAAAATAAACTGTGAACTTTGGAGAAACGGTGTGAATCATTTTCATTTGCAGGTATTACGGATTGCCATCGAACCACTATTAATAATACCCAATTCGTGAATTCACTCTACAATGTTAGCCCGACTCATTTTCAGTGATGAGACAAGTTTTTTTTATGATGGCGGTGGGGAAGAATATTCAGCCCCTTTGCTATCATGTTGATCTATGTATATTGCCGGGTGCTTTTGTGTTTGAATAGAAAGTTAATTTACAAAGGTCTGCGGCAATGTCACGCGAGTTGTGTACTTCGCTATGTTTGTCGCAAAAAGTGGTGATTTTACAAATACGCTGACAACCAAATTAAAAAAGCACAGCTGCCGTGACATTTAAAAAAATCCTCATCGTGGGTTTTTTGCTTCCTGCTTGTAGCGTAAAGATGCAAGCTTCGCATAACCAAACAACATCCGTGGCATCTATGTGACCTCCCTTCATGACGGATGATCAAATACGTTCCCTATCGGATTGTGTAACAAAAACACCAGGCCTTTGCGTTACTTTTCAGTAAAGAACACAACAACACTGCACACGTGAATAGAGAAACGTTACTTCCTGGAACGGAACAATTTATGTGCTTCTGCGGTCGTCTGAAACACTCTTCTTTCTTCCTATATTAGGACGCCAATAAGCACTTTTAAATCATCTAGATTGAAGACGAATTTCTTCAGAGCTGCTTTTTGTGTTTCGTTTGTTGTCCTTCCCCCGCACCTCCGATTAGCACGCTTGGCTACGTACGGCGCGAAAGAAGATTAACGTACGTGCTCGCTCCGAGCACGCAGGCCTTTGCGGACTTTGGCAAACGTGCCGTGTCGCTGTGGTAGGCAGCAGATTAATAGAAGCACCGTCCCATAAGGGTCCCCTATCGCGCGTGTTATTTTTGGTCAGGTCGAGACCGGGGATGTGGGCTGAGCAAGCTGAGCGTTACACTACATTACCCAGCGGGACCCCGGCTTCATGCACCGTGAGCAACATTGTCATATCAGGCTTTATTGCCCAGAAAGTATGTGAAATGTTACAAATATAGAATCCATGTACTCGCGAAAATCTGTCTTGTTTTTCCACCTCCCCACCCCCTCCCCGCCCAGCGGAGAATGCTGGGGAAAATGTTGGCAGGGAACACTTGCTCAACAATGCGCGCATTCATTTGTGTCCCAAGCGTATTCCGATCCGTGCTCATCGGTGCAAGCCAGGAGGCAAATCATCTTCGATTGTGATCTCTCGCACACATGCTGGAGAATGGCCTGTGGAAGGGGACAACGTAGCACTACTTCTGAGAGCCCTTTAACTGCCTCTTGAACCCACCAAGGCAGCAAGCGCACCGCCTCAAAACCGCCTTGCGACAGAAGCATTTGTCGTGTGGCCATCTAACCAATTTAACCACGCGAAAGAAATTGGCCCGAAGAGCTGAATATACGACGTCGTTAAGCCGGAACAAAATTTAACACGATGGCCCTTTTGTCCAGCCATTAAGTGCCCATAATAAGGACATAAAACTCAATTGAGAACACCACGGGTGGTTGCCCAAGATTCGAACTCGGGATCTCAACTCTCCTGACTCGGTGACCCGATACAGAATTAGCTCTTCGCAGTCAGCCAGTCAACCAACCAGTGCCACAAAGCAAGCAAGTGAATGCTGGAGGCAGTCTTCACCCCCCTCGCTAGTGCTCACGTGCAAAGCGCTCAGTGTTCATCGTAGGTGGAT